GATCCCGGCCCTCGGCTCCCTCGGGAAGCCACTCAACCTCTCTGCCTCAGTTTCCCCATCTGCAAAGGTGGGGGGGATTCAATTTTACCTCACCGGGCTGTTGTGAGGCGCGAGCAGCGCGTGACGTGTTCTCTAAATGTGACGTGTTATTATTATTTTGTGTCATAGGATTATTGGATTATTCTGCAGGGCGTGCCCGAGGAGGGGGGACTGCGCTGTCCCCGCGCCGTGGTGGGGAGGCTGTGAGGGGAGGTCAGTGCTCGGTGTGAGGCAGCAGCTCAGGGGGGAGCCCAGCGGTTGCTTCTGCCTTTGTGTCTCCCCTCCCCGGGGGCTGTACGAGCGTCGTCTCCTTAGCAACATTTCCTGACTTGATGTTGTGATTCTTACTATTGTAAAGGGTTGAAATAAAGCTTCTAGATGTTCCTCCTCAGGCTGCTGTGGCTCTGTGGGGCGGGAGGGCTGGGCGGGGGGCGCCGGCACAGCCTGGGGCTCCTGATGTGGGGCTGGCTAAGGAAGGCGCTGAGGGAATTTGGGTGTTTGATTTCAGCCACAGGAGAATTCCCATCCCTGGCTTTGCTCTGCAAGCCTGGGCTCAGAGGGGACAGGGCTTTGGCTGACATGGGCGCTGTGGGAGCCCCTGTGCCCAATGCCACAGCTGGAACAGCTGGCACAGCCAGAGGTACCAGCAGGTGCCCCTGGCCACTCACACAGATAAAGGAAAGGTTTCCCACCCTGGCTTGGACCTGATCTGAGACCCCAAGCAGCACTGGGAGCCAAGTTCCAGGTCCCCGTGCCTGGAGCAGCTGCTCCTGTGCCCTCCTTGAGCGCTGCTGTGGAAACAGCCCCAGCCCCATTGACCCTCAGCTGCCCCAGACACGGGAGCACTGGGACAGCCTGGCCTGGCCTCCTCACACATGGGCACCTCTGGGACAGCCTGGCCTGGCCTCCTCACACATGGGCACCTCTGGGACAGCCTGGGCTGGCCTCCTCACACATGGGCACCCCTGGGACAGCCCGGGCTGGCCTCCTCACCTGTGGGCACCTCTGGGACAGCCTGACCTGGCCTCCTCACGCGTGGGCACCTCTGGGACAGCCTGGCTTGGCCTCCTCACACATGGGCACCTCTGGGACAGCCTGGCTTGGCCTCCTCACACACGGGAGCACTGGGACAGCC